GTGCGTGTGCGTGTGTGTGTGCGCGCGCGTGCGCGTGTGCCTACGTGCGTGTTAGTGAATACTGATAGAGCCTACAGCTAGTCGTCCGACTGCCTTCCTCACTAGTACTGGTACACGGCGATCAACCGAATGACCTTTGATTCAATAACCTTTCACGATAAATATTTGGTCAGCGGGTGCAGCCGCGACCACAGACCGAGCGCGTCGGGCAATGAAAACTACTCAGTCGTTGATTCGGGTCCCTCGCAATCACATAGACCGACTCCATCACGAGCATCAACATCTTACCCTCCGTCGGCAGCCGCGGGGACCTCGAGGGAATCGGTCCAGCAAGCGCCATCTGTATTCTAGTGACGTAGCCAGCGTTCGGAGAGGCGGAAATTCGCGTGTCGAGCCACTAACTATATGCGAGTCAATATTTAACTCGCGTTTTTATGATTTCCATTCGCATTGCGCAGGATTTTAAGCCTCTCGTGTCCGGGGTCGCCTATTCAAACTTTCAAAGCCGACTCTCAAACGGCCGAAATTAATCAGCTCTACTTTTAAATGCGAGCGCAAATAAATCAAGTCTTGACCAATATAAATGCTCGATTCGCTAATCGATACATACACATATATACGAGCCTGCCGGATTTGACTGCAACGCAGAATGTGAATGCATTTTCCAGCAGTAGTTATACCTAGCGGTACACTGTAGACTCTAACGGTAACCAGGATCTGCCCGCTCTACCGTGCCTGCATACAATAGAAGTCCACATTAACTTTGTGTAGTCGGCACCCTATCCACTGTAACCGTTATATAGCTGGGCGAATGATCAGGGATGTAGCGGAATGAACTGAGGGATGATGGAACAAGAATGTAGTGGGATAGATGAACGGGGTTATAGTGGGATGCATGAACAGGGGTGTAGCGGAATGATTTAATAGGGCTGTACACATAGTGAAATGGATGAACAGGGAGTGAAATGAATTAACAAGGGCGTAGCAGGATAAATGATCATCGATGTAGTGGGATAAGTGAACACTGGTGAGAGTACAGGGATGTAGTGGGATGTATAAACAGGAATGTAGGGGGAGAGATGAATAGGGATGTAGTAGAATAAATGAACAGGCATCTAGTGAGAGATAATTGAACAGGAGGCTCTCACCAGGGTTTTATCGTACTCCTGATCTTCATCCCACATTTCTTCCATAAATCAGCATTCTTTAATAAATGCTTCAATGTCGTAGCAGCTCTCATCCTTCCTCGCACATCTCGCTTCGCTTCATCCTCTCACAAGCCCCAGCTCTCTATCATCACACACACGCACGCACGCACGCACACACATACACACACACATACACTAGTTCTCCACTCTACTGCAACACGGTAGCAGTGTACAGAGTATCGTGCGCTTATACCCGTGTTTACTATCCTATACCCTTCTCATTTCCGTCCCCTCCCCGTCGTCACCCCCGTCATTAACACAGATGATCGGTTTGTTCAGTTGCAAACGATCTCTGGAAATCTGTCGGGTTGGCATTCACTGCTAAAGTGTTAAATGCACGTCTAATCCGCGCGCGCGAAATTTTGAACAGATGCGTCGATTTACTTTGAAAGCGATCCGCCGCCGTGTGAGCGTCTGTATAATCGGTTTCTCTGTCACAGGTGACGGTGGTGTCAGTTAAGTAGCGATGCTGGGGAGGCGATATTAGTATATAGTTAAATATAATCAAGAGTCCATAATAGAAAATTATATTATGGACTCTTGATATAATATGTAGCATCAAGTATATAATTTGGTATATAGTATATAGCATATAGCATACAGCATACAGTATACAGTAGTATATCGTATAATTATAGTATATAGTATATAATATTCAGTATGTAGTATATATTATATACAATATAGTATAGGACACGCGGAGTTACAGCTAGGGTTTATGTAGGATCTACATGAGAGATGTAGGGTTCATCCAGTTCGTCGTTGCATGGCAGATGTTATCGGCGACAGCAGCTCAGTGCAAACACGCTCACGACGTCGGCAAACACACCGAGAGTAGGGTTACCACCGGAGTGTGGATGATGTCAGGAGCGAATAGAAATAAAATAAAAGAACTAAGTGATGATATCGCGTTGTGTGGAAATTGCGTTTTAAATGCGGTGCAGTGATGTGGTATACGTGGCATCGATGTATGTTAGAATTGTGTGTATTTCTCTCTCTCCGTCTCCCCACTCTCTCTTGCTCTCCATCTTTCTCTCTCTTTCTCGCCACCCTTTGCCCCTTTCTCTCCATACCTCTCCCTACCTCTCTCTTCCACAAGAAAACAAAATGACAATATGAGGATTAGAATGGATGGGGTTATTCGGCTAGATGAGTGGGAATATGTACGCGGCGAAAGGAGAGGGGTAGTGGTAAGGAACTGGAAGTCCTGACTATAAACGTCGGCGGGGGTGGGATATGCGGCAAGACCAGAGGAATCAGTCAAGGTGGGTGCGGTGGGAGTAGTGTTGGGAATAACAGCCCGTCTCCCCCTTCAGTCCGGGACTGGTTACCCGTAAGCAGTACTGGCTCATTTGTAGTCGGGTTTACTATAGGTTATGTAATAGAATATCTATATATATATATATATGTATGTATCAGGAGTAGATAATAGGGGGGGGGAGGGTAGGGATTCCCTATTATCTACTTCTGATATATATCTATATATAGACGAGTTAATGAATCGCGCGTGCCAGCGTTTAATGAATTATCCGAGAGTTTCATCTTTACTAATGATGACGTTCGCCGCTCGCAGCCGATTCCTGCACCGACGAGACCCGCCGCCAGAAGAACCGAGCCCGACATCATCCACCCGAGAGTCGTCGATGGCGTCCGACGACTCGCTGGCGACGAACAGCCGCCCGGGCAGCCGCTTCCTGCGTCGGCGGGCGCAGTCGCCCGACACGGCGGCCCGCAGCAAGACGTCGAGCGGCAAGCACCGCTACAACACGCGCCGACACACGCACGGCGGCTCGCTGTTCGGCACCCGCGACGACGACGACGACGACGACGAGACGCCCGTCGCGACGCCGACCGCCGAAAGCGGCCGACCGACGTTCACCGCCGACGACGCGCTGACGCGTCGCTCGCGCTGGAGCACGCGCGCAGAATCCATAGACAGCGCGCCGACGACGCCGAAGCAGTCGACGTTCCAGTACGGCGCCTACGATCCGGCTTCACGCGCGCGACACTTCGACGCCCTGCCCGACCCGCCGCCGGCGCGCAAGTCCAGCTACCAAAGGCAGAACACGGCCATCTACACGGGAGACTCTCCCTCCACCTCCTCCTCGGGCGCCGCCGCCGCCGCTACTCCGTCGAGGGCAGTCGTCGAGACGACGGCCTCTCGTAGCTACGCGAATCGCAACAGCTACACGAACAAGGGCAGCTGCTTGAAGGTGATCGGAAATCGCGGCTGCGAGGTGGGCAAGTTCACGTGGCCGCGCGGCATCGCCATCAACCCGTGGGACAACAGCGTCGTGGTCGCCGACAGCAGCAACCATCGCGTACAGGTCCTCGACGAGGACGGCACGTTCCAGCGCGCATTCGGCAAGCACGGTAAAGGTCAGGGAGAGTTCGACGGGCTAGCGGGCGTCGCCGTCAGCCAGTCAGGCCTCATCATCGTCTCCGATCGCTACAACCACCGCATTCAAATCTTCGAGAACACGGGAAAGTTCCTGCGCGCGTTCGGCCGCGAGGGCCACCTCGAGGGGCAGCTAAACTACCCGTGGGGTATCTGCTCGGACAGCAGCAACAAGATTTACGTCTGTGATAAGGAGAACCATCGCATTCAGGTCTTCTCGATCGACGGCACTTTTATTCGAAAGATCGGCGGGCGTGGCACGGGGCCGGGCCAGTTCGAGCACCCGCATTACTGCTACGTCGCCGGCGGCTCACTCTACGTCTCCGACAGCAGCAACCATCGCGTGCAGGTCTTCGACACGGACGGCACCTACCGAAGCTCGTTCGGCAGCCAGGGCATGGCCGAGGGACAGTTCAACTTTCCGCGCGGCATCGCCGTCGACTCTCAGGGTTACATAATCGTGGGCGACAGCGGTAACAACCGCATTCAAGTGTTCAAGGCAGATCGTACCTTCCTGACTTCGTTCGGAACCTGGGGAAGCCGAGAGGGAGAACTGAAGGGATTGGAGGGACTCGGACTAATGTCTAACGGCAATATCGTAGTCAGCGATCGAGAAAATCATCGGGTGCAAATGTTCTAATGTAAGTACACAATGTGTGAGAATATATGTCCGATGTTTTTGATGTACTTACGGATTTTCGTAAAAATCACGTTTTCAACTAAACCCTGCTCACTATCATTCGGGGAAGGGTGCTGCCTTGATCTAGCACATCTTTTTATATGTTATAGCTACGTGTTGCTGTATAATGTTTAGTGTTTGAGGCATGGTCATTTTACAGAAACAATGAGAATGGCGCTAAAACCTAAAACGAGGGCATTTTCTAAACATCCAATGTTTATTTGAACTGATCTAGTGACCGAAATTTTCCGAGAGTTGATATGAGGAGGTGTAATAAGAAACCTAGTAGAGATAAGGGCCTAATAAAAACCAGGCTGACGATTCGTGTTGCGAACAAGCCCAAACATCTTCGTTCGAGCATTGAATCTCAACAGTAATTCTTTCCTTAAAAGGCCTAATTGGCAATTAAAGCTTCTAAGGGTCTCTATCATTTGAGGCCGTAAAAAATAGGTCGAATCGTGTAAAGACAAACTGTATGTCTACTGTATGTCTGTGGTGGGCGCGCATAAACTCGGACCTACTGGCGATGGATGAACGGTCCGTTATGTGAAATGCCTGCGGTGGGTGTAACCCTAACGATAAACAGGAAGCGTTGGGAAATGCGAAACCAAATTCGAGGCACTTTTTAAGTCTGTAAGAAGCTGGATTAGCTAGCATTCGTGTTACGGGGTTTACTGATGAAGCCAGCACCTAGCAGATGCGTAATGAGGCTAGCTGCAGGATCGGGGAGCAGAGATGGCTTGCTGAGAGAAAATATGACTGCTGTAGCTGTAGGCAAGCTTGATTTAGTGACGTGTCGGGATGGAAAGCGAGAGAGTCGCTATATATACCGACTCGATCTGAACTATTCTCCGAGCGTCGATAACGAAACAACAATATTCGTTCCATTCTCGCATGTTTTAATCTTTACTGTTCTCAGAGTCAATTCATTTTATAATCATACATTTCTCAGCTTTCTTATTCTGAGATTTAGTTAATTCCCTCGCTCTCCTACACTTCCCTCGCCCAACTCCCTTCACTCCCATATGCCGATCTCGCTCTCTCTCTCTCTCTCTCTCTCTCTCTCTCTCTCTCTCTCTCTCTCTCTCTCTCTC